CACCCAGCACTGAGCATTTGCTCCTTTATGTTGTCACATACGTTTTCTCATGTGTAAGCCTTGACCCTACAGCTATATTACAGGCTTAAGAAGGCAGAAACTCTCTCTTACAGTTCTTTTTTTTCCAATCTTTTTTAAAAAAAGTGTTTATTTAGGGGCGCCTGGGTGGCTCAGTTGGTTAAGCGTGCAACTTCGGCTTAGGTCATCATCTTATAGCTCGTGAGTTCAAGCCCTGCATCAGGGTCTGTACTGATGGCTCAGAGCCTGGAACCTGCTTCGGACTTCGGATTCTGTGTCTCCCTCTCTCTCTGCCCCTCCCCCATTCGTGCTGTCTCTCTCTCTCCTTCAAAAATAAATAAACATAAATTTTTTTTTTTAATTTTTTTTTTCAACGTTTATTTATTTTTGGGACAGAGAGAGACAGAGCATGAACGGGCGAGGGGCAGAGAGAGAGGGAGACACAGAATTGGAAACAGGCTCCAGGCTCTGAGCCATCAGCCCAGAGCCCGACGCGGGGCTCGAACTCCCGGACCGTGAGATCGTGACCTGGCTGAAGTCGGACGCTTAACCAACTGCGCCACCCAGGGGCCCCAATAAACATAAATTTTTTAAAAATTATTAATGTTTGTCTATTTTTGAGAAAGAGAGAGTGTGGTGGGGTGGAGGGGTGGCACAGAGAGAGAGTGAAACAGAGGATCTGAAGCAGGCTCTGCACTAACCTCAGAGAGCTCAATGTGGGGCTTGAACTCATGAACCTTGAGATCATGACCTGAGCTGAAGCCAGACACTTAACCACCACTAAGCCATCCAGGCGCCCCTCTTTTATAGTTCTTTACATCTCCCTTACACACATCCTCTCACACTGCCTAAGGCAGAAGGATAAATAAATGACTGTTGAGTGAGGGTTAAATTTCACACATTTTGAGAGCAAATTTCAGGAGGGTCTTCCTTGACTCTGCTATGCTTTCCCTCATTGTAGCACTTAGGATTCTGGATTGGAATTGTCCAGGTGCTTATCTGCCTTTCCCCCACCCAAACCTGTAACTGTGAGAGCAAGAACTCTGTCTGCCTTGTTCACTGCTGCACCCCAGCAGAGCACACAGTGCCTGGCATACATAGCTGTCATGTAATTAAATGTCGATTGAATGAGTGAATACTGTTTCCACCTTGCTGTTGTCTGGAGTTGGTGTCAGGACCTGCATCCTGCCAGGTGGGGGCAGGCTGTGCAGCACTGCTGGCCCCTACACCAGATGGAGCAACCGCCCCCAGGTCCATAGTGACTCCCAGCTGTCTGCCCCGAAGCCAGCCTTGCCTGTGCATGCTTACCGCGGTGTGCCCGTCCTCGTCATACTGTCGCAGCTGCCCCAGGAACTCCAGGTGCTTCTTTTCCTCCTCCAGCTGAGCCACAGCCTGTTCGCTACGCTGCAGCCGCTGCTGGGTGCCCGCCAGCTCGTCCCGGAGCCACTGGTTCTCCTGACACAGCCGCCGTACCTGAGCCCGCAGTTTCTGTTTCTCCGACTCCACTGTGCTCAGGTGGCTGGCCAAAGCCAGCATCACCTAGATGGGCACATCCTGTAAGTGCCGACTCTGGATCGGAATGTCGGGGATAAGTGGAAGGGGAGCCTACTGGGAGGCAGCAAAACTGGCAGGAGCCAGGAGGCAGGATTGAGTAGCAATAGCTCTACCCTCAAAATATACCCTGAATCCAATCTCTCACCACCTCCATAGCCACCACCCTGGGCCAGGCCACCATCAGTTCCCATCTGGATGACAATAGCCTCCTCACAAGCCTCTGTTTCTGCCCTTTTCACTTAGGCTCTGTTCTCAACCCAGCAGCCAGATGATCCTTTTATTTTTTTTAATATTGCTTTATTTATTTTGAGAGAGGGAGAGAGACAGAGAGAGAATTTCCCAAACAGTCTCTGTGCTGATAGTGGAGATCTCACAAACCATGAGATCATGACCTGAAATCAAGAGTCAATGCTTAACCGACTGAACCACCCAGGTGCCCCAAGCCGAACCTTTTAAATGTTAAGCTAGACTTGGGACACTTGGGTGGCTCAGTCGGTTAAGCGTCCAACTTCAACTCGGGTCATGATCTCACAGTTCGTGAGTTCAAGTCCCATATCAGGCTCTGCCCTAGTGGTGCAGAGCCTGCTTGGGATTCTCTCTCTCTCTCACTCTCTCTGCCCCTTCCCTACTTGCATGCTTTCTCTCTCTCTCTCTCAAAATAAATTAAAAAATAAATAAAAAATGTTAAGCTAGACCACATCACTCCTCTGCTCAATATATTCCAATAGCTTTCATCTCATTCAAAGTAAAAACAAAGTCCTTATGATGACCTTCAAGTTTCACATGATCTGTCCCTTTCTCTCCCAACCATTCTACCTCTGGTACTTCAATTTCTATTTTGCTTCACCTCATCCACTCTCCTGCAGCCACCCTGGTCCCTCATTGAACTTGTCGAGAAGGCCCCAGTTTAGGACCTTTGTATGTACTGTCCACTCTGCTTAAGATGATTTTCCCCCATTTATTGTATGACTCATTCCCTTACCTTCAAATCTTTGCTCAAATGCCACCTTTTCAGGAAGGCTTTCTTTGACCATGCTATCTAAAGGTGTATCTTCTCTCCATATCCCCCAACCCTCTTCTCTGTTTTATTCTTACCCCTCTTTCTTAGCAGTTATCACTCTGACATACAGAACGATTTACTTATTTGTGTATTGTCTGCCTCCCCCAGCTAGAATGTAAGCTCTGAGATGGCAAAGATTTTTGACTGTTGAGTTCAGTGATGTGTCTTCAGTGCCCAGAAGAGTTGTGCCCGGCACAAAGAAGGGACTTAATACATGTTTACTGAATGAATGAAGGCAAGCATCTAGGACAAGGAGATCCTAAATGACCCCAAAACTCCAATCAGACCCCAAGGCCACTTGGCACCACCTCCTCCCTCTCACCTGGGCCTCACTCAGCCCCAGCTCGATGTTCTCCATGGAACGTCGCAGCTGCCGAGCCTTCTCATGCACCAGTCCTTCTTCATGGCCTCCTTGCTGCAGACACTCGATGGTATGGGACAGACTTTGCAGGACAGCCTGATGTTCACTGTGTAGGGCCTCTAGCCCTTGGCTCACCAGCCGGGTACTTCCCAGGATCTCCTCCTGGCTGAGCCTGTGCCCTGCAGGCTCATCCCGCTGCCCCAACACCAGGCCTGACATCTTGGCCACGGGGACCTTGCCTGGGCTGAGGAGAAACAACAGAGCTCATTGGGGGTAAAGATAAGAAAGAGAGGTTGAGTACCTTGGTTAGAGGGAAGAGACAAGAGAGAGTATGGGTGACCTTCTGGTTTAATTGGAGAGAGAGTGATCAGTGGGAAAGGAGCCTACAACACTAAACACAAAGCTAAGGTGGGAAAGAGAGAGGGAGAGGAATCGATTTGAACGAAGAAAGACAACGAAAGGAACAAAAGTACTGACAACTAGCAGGCAGATTTAGAAATTAGGAAGAGAATAGGAAGTGTTGGAGAGAGAGCTTGGGTCAGGAATAGGAAAAGGAATCAGATGAGAGACGGCATTATAGGAAACACAGAGGGTGTCTGGAGAAAGCTGCAAAGGAAACAGGGTTAAAGCAAACAGGAGATATAAAGAAAATGGTGCAGAGGTTTCAAAAAATAGAAACTATACAGGTTTCAAAGTTACAGGGAAGAGAGAGAAGAAGGAAAAAAGGCACCTTCATTGCACGACCCAGATGAGAGGGGCCCAGAAAGCTCCAGGTCTTCAGACTGCGCCACCCACAGAGCTAAGGCCAGCATCTCCAAACCCGGTAAACTCTGCCTCTTTCCCCACTAGGCCTTCAGCCCATACTTCCCACCCTCCAGGTGTCGGGCTCTTTTCCTACTTCCTCAAAAGAGCCTTGTTTCTCATCTTTGAAGTCCTCTTACCGGTAGGTACACAGAGCAGAGCCCTCGGCTGTGGCGCTCAGGCCAGAGCCCGGAAGAAACTCTTTCAGTAGCCAGGGACTCACAAGGATCTGCCCTGCCCAAAGTCCAGAACTCCAGCGTTCCCACCCCTTCTCTCACCACCTCACAGCCACCCAGAGGACCTGGCACAGAGCCCTACTCAGGGCAAGCACCCTCCCTCTCTCTACCTACAGGCCTTCAAAGGCGACCAGTGTGTCCCTCTTCCTTCCCGGAGCCAACGTCCCACCCTAGGCCTGGGGAGCTATTTTCTCCCAAGAAGGGAGTGAGACTTGATCTGAGATCTGCGGCAAGGGGCGTGTCTGGGAAAGGGTGAGGAGAAAGACCTGGTCACTCCTGACCCATTCACTTTCATGGCTTTGTCTCTGTGATGACCACCTACTAACAGGCTCTGAGAGAAGTCACCTTAGGGTGCCTCTCAGACGCCTGATGATGCAGGGAAGAATGGCAGGTCTACAGAGCGGCTGCAGGGTTACAGGGAAACACTGCGCTGGGAGTTGATCTCCCCGCCTGGGAAAGCGGTCGGAGAAGTGACCCAGCCTGTCGACCTGCCCTGGGGCCCAGGGTGGGGACAGAATGAGATGGGCGGGGGCGCAGGGGAGAGGTGCGGGTGGGCGGCGGAGGTCCGCGTCACGAGCGAGGACCCAGGGACCTGAGAATCCCGAGGTCGATGAGTCCGTCGGTAGAGCAGGGGGCGGGGCAGGCCGTCTGTCTGTCTGTCTGGACGCTGAGGGGCGGGAAGAATCGCGGGGGGGGCGGAGTTTTTCAGTCTGTCTGGACTTGTGTGAGATCTGCTGGTGGGGGGTTGTTCATCTGTCGTGGAGTGCGGAAAAGAAGTAGCGGGACCTCAACCCTCAGTCCCGGGGGTACCCTCACGGACTCACCCGCAGTCTGTCGGTCTGGCTGCCGCCCTTGCCGGTACTGCCCCTTTAAATTCATCATGGCTGCCGCTCGAGGTAATTGTTTTGACGGCTCCCGGGGGCGGAGCGGGCTTCTCAGTCACGCGACCTAGGGGTCGCCCGTGGATTGGCTTCGACCACGCGCATGGAGGAAAGGAGGTGTGTATTCACCTTGGTCTCGGGTTATCTGCCCACCTCATTACGTCATGAGAGCGACGGCACAGGGATTTGTTAGCGTCATCTAAAGGCGCCAGGCGGCCTGGCTAAAAGAAATGGTGGTGTGCTGAACCCCGCGGAGCTTGGCTATCGTCATGGCCCTGAGGGTACTGACTCGCGCTTTGGGCTCACTGAGCCTGACGCCCCCGGCCGTCGCCACCCTCAGCTCGAGCCTGCTCCCGGCCGCGCAGGTAATCCACCCTATCTCGGAATGAGGCTGTTCCTATTCGGGCCGCTGGAGTGGGCACCCTGGGATGGGAGATGTTTTAAATAAATGAACTCCTAGGGTGCCTGAGTGGCTCAGTCTGTTAAGCATCCGAATTCGGCTCCGGTCGTGATCTCATGGGGCTCGCTGCTGACAGCGTGGAGCCCGCTTGGGATCTTCTCTGTCTCTCTGCCCCTCCCCTGCTTGTGCGCACTCTCCCTCTCTCTCAAAAATAACTCCTTGCAACCACTGTATAAGGTAATTATCATTACCATTTTACGTATGAGAAAATTGATCAGCAGTCCAAAGTCATACATCAACTGTTGGAGCTACACAGTCTGGCTTCAAAGCCTGGTCTCTTAAACCATTAAAGAGGAGTTATTGCTGAGATCAGAGAATGCAGGGCAAGATAGCAATATTAGGAGGCTAAGGTAAAGGTATCCTCAAAGTTCCTGGTGGGCAATTGGTGAGTCACAGAAAAGAGAAGTTGTAAGTCTTGTTCCTCTGGACCTTTCTGGGTGATGGTAGAGTTTGGCAGATGCATACTAAAAATCAAAACCAAACCAACCTACTCTGTGAAATGCTGGGGATACAGCAGGGAACAAGACAGAAATGACCCTTCCCCTCCATTCACATCTGAAATACTCCCAGAAACATAAATTCAGAGGGGCAAAAGGCATTGGTGCTGATGGTGGCATATGGATATGGGAAAGTTACCAGCTTTGGAGAAGGGAGTTGTTTAGGGAAGGAAGAGTTTCCCACAGAAGGAGAGGTTTGAGCCAAATTTGGAAGGAGATGCACGAAGGGGGAGAATATTCCATTGAAGAAGTACCTCAAATGAGGAGAGATAATCAATACACATACACCTGTATAAACATTCCACCCTGGTATTTGTGCAAGGGTAAAGGGTGGAGCTTTTGGACAGCTGGTCTGGGACATTCTTAGAAGAAAGTAGGCTACTTGGTCTATTCCTTTACCCTTGGCTCTCCGATGCTTCTTCAGTTACCTTTTAAGGTAAAGAGATTTGTTTATCTCTAGGTGACAAGCAGTACTCTCCTCCAGCTGCCCTCTTCCTCATTGTTGCTCCTCTGCCGCCCAGTGCTTACATCTGTGGCCCTTAGTGCCAATTTTGTGTCCTGGAAGAGTCGTACCAAGTACACCATCACACCAGTGAAGATGAGGAAGTCTGGGGGCCGAAACCACACAGGTGAGACCAAGGGAAAAAGGATTTAAGCATTAAAGGGGAAAAACATGTTAGGATCCCAGGTCTATTTATTGAAAAGCAGAGGAATTTATTGAAAAACATGTTAGGATCCTAGGCCTATTTATTCAAAAATTTATTGGACTCCTTTTGCATGTAGTAGGTGTGTAAGAAACAAAGAGTATAACACAAAGCAACATGAAGGTAGTCTGTGCTCCTAAAGACTATCTAGGTAATTAAAGAAAACCAGACATATACATGAAGTTAATTATATTTTTCTTCATGCCTTTCAAAAATTTATGGGGTGCCTGGGTGGTTCAGTCAGTTAAGTGTCCAACTTTGGCTCAGGTCATGATCTCATGGCTTGTGAGTTCGAGCCCTGCATTGGGCCCTGTGCTGACAGCACAGAGCCTGGAGCCTGCTTCGGATTCTGTGTCTCCGGCTCTCTCTGCCCCTCCCCCACTCATATCGCCCCCCCCACCTCAAAAATAAATAAATATTTTATTTTTAAAAATTAAAAAAAATGAAAAAAATTTGCAATAGCTGAGCACTATTTATACCACTCAATAAACTTTTAGCATTCAATAATTTGTAGAGATTTTGTCTGGAAGTTTTATGTAATTTCAATATCTTATAATTATGTTCTTATCAAGTTCCATGTAGGTGTTTCCCCACCCCCGTTTACCATTTGCTATGCAAATTTTTTGTCATTTTCTGCTCATCTCATAATGTTGGGAAGCATTGCTCTCTGCCCAGAATGGGCCTGTTCCCACTGCTAGGAACTGATCATCTGACCTGGGTCATGTCTCTGCACTTTCCTGACCACAGGCCGAATCCAAGTGCATGGTATTGGCGGGGGCCACAAGCAACGTTATCGCATGATTGATTTTCTGCGGTTCCGGCCTGAGCTGGAAGCAAAGCCAGGACCCTTTGAGGAGAAGGTCATCGTGGTCCGCTATGATCCCTGTAGGCAAGTTTGGGATGTGAGATGATGATAGTGTAGCTGAATGACTGTTCTGTGGCTTTTCAGAAGATATAGGGCTGCCTAGATGATCTGCTCATATGTCCCTCACCCTGAACAGATCAGCAGACATAGCTCTGGTTGCTGGGGGCAGCCGGAAACGCTGGATCATTGCCACAGAAAACATGCAGGTTGGAGATATAATCCTGAACTCTGATCACATAGGCCGAATGGCAGGTAAGAGACGGCCACCAGACGTGTATGGGCTCAAAGGATGCAAGGGGTCTGGTGCTGATGAAATTATGTCTTTTAGTTGCTGCTCGGGAAGGGGATGCACATCCTCTTGGGGCCTTGCCTGTGGGGACTCTCATCAACAACGTGGAGAGTGAGCCAGGCCGGGGGGCCCAGTATATCCGAGCTGCAGGTATGAGGAAATGAGCTGCTTGGGGGTCTTACAATTTGGAAGGCCAAAGAGTACCTGAGGTCACAATTCTCTGAACCCTTGGACTCTTATGTGGTCCACTGGCAGAGAAAAAGAAGGAAAAACAAGGAAAATGAGAATGGAGAGGTGCATGTGTCTTGACTTAAAACATTGCATGCATCCTGCTTCATTGTATCTGCTCCTAAAGGGCAAAGCAAGGACAGGGTATGGGGTATGTCCCCCTGTAAATCTGCTCCTGCCTTTTCCTTTTTGGAGGGTGGCAAAGCTCCTTCTCCCTTACCCAGGGACATGTGGTGTGCTGCTACGGAAGGTGAATGGGACGGCCATCATCCAGCTGCCTTCCAAGAGACAGATGCAGGTGTGTGTGTGTGGGTACAGGTGGGAGGACCAGCAAAGGAGGAAGTTTTGGAATGTACCCTTCTTGTCCAGGATAGTTCCCAGGTGTTTTATGTTGGGAACTTCCATGAGCTAGGTGTGTCCTTTTCTGCCATGTGACTAGGCATGTCCTGTCAGTTTGACACTGTAATAGACAGGGAACAATGCCTCTTGTTTTCAACTACCATAGGACCTGCCGTCAGGTTCAATTATGCTGTGGTTTTCTCCTGTCCTCTCCCTTCTCTCAGTGAGTGTAAGAAGCCTCAGAGTCATGCAGTCAACAATGTCAGGCTCTTTCCCCATGATGCATTCTCCTCCATCTGTTTTCTCTGTCAGGTTCTGGAAACGTGCATGGCAACAGTAGGCCGGGTATCCAACGTTGATCATAACAAAAGGGTCATCGGCAAGGCTGGGCGGAACCGCTGGCTAGGCAAGAGGCCTTCCAGCGGGCTGTGGCACCGCAAGGGGGGCTGGGCTGGCCGCAAGATTCGGCCACTGCCCCCTATGAAGAGTTACGTGAAGCTGCCCTCGGCTGCTGCCCAAAGCTGAGATCCCTGGATTCTAATAAAATCACCCCTCATTTTTAGCAGTTACTGTTTTTTCGGGGAGGGAGGATTGCACATACTAGACCCGGAAAAAAACACCAGAGCAAACAAGGACGGGAGAGGAGAAAGGACAATATGGGGCAAAGACTGGAGCTGCTCATTTCCAGCCGCGCCCCCCCCAACCCCCACCCTGTGCCAGTTTTTTTCTATGTAATGGTAGAGGGGAGAATAAATGACCTCCAAGGTCTCCTGTTCTGACTTCGGGAGTCGGGGAGAGCACTTCCGGTGGAAGGAAGGGGAATGAAAAGGAAGAGGAAAGGGCGGCACGGAGGAGGAGGAGGTGCCGCGCGTCGCCGAGGTGGCACTGACGACTCCGCCCCGGAGCTCTCCCAAGGCCCCTAGCTTTCCGCTGGGTCTGGCGGAAATGAGCCACGACTCCGGGCAGGCGGGCAGGCGGCGGAGCCCCCAGAGCTGGGCGGGCGGCGCCGCAGGCTGGGCCCCGTCTCCGCCCTGCCCCGCCCTACCCAGGCTGCCGCTGACCTGCGCGCTGGGCAGTGACAGTGGCCGCCCGAGGTGCTCTGTGCCTGCACGCCACGCCCCCTGCCTGCCCGCTTGTCCTTCGGAGGCACGCCCCCTCCCGCCTCTCCGCCTGGACCCCCCTCGGGGGCCCAGGCGGGGCCCAAATCTCCGCCAGCATCGCCGCCATCGTCTGCGCCGCGTCCCTAGCTCAGCGAAGGAGAGGCCTCGCGCCGGACCCCCATCGCCTTCTGAGGTGGCCAGAGCCCCCCCGCCCCTACCCTGGATTTTCCTCCGCACTCTCGCCCACCGAGCCGCGCGCGCACCCGATTTCGCGTCCCCCACCCCAGTTCCACAGTGCCTTGGGATTCTCGTTTATCTGGCCTAGCCCCCTCCCCCGCACCTTGCCGCGCGCCCCCGGCTTCTAGGGTCCACCTAGCCTCCCGCCGTTCAACCCACCGGATCTCCTGTCGCCCCCACCGGCCTTGCTGCTCCAGTGTCTCCAGTCCTGCGCGCCTGCAGCCCACCAGGCTTTCCTCCCAGCCCCTCGCGCCTCGCCCTCCCATCCCACCAATTCTCCCCCACCAAATCTCTTGCCTCTGTGACACACTCCTGCGCTTCAACCATTGGAGCTAGCATCCCTTCCCAGACACACTCGGGATCTCACTCCCCACCCCCACTCCCCAACACACACCCCTCGGGGCTTCATGGATCCCCTTCTCAGGGCTGCTGCCTATGGCAGTGCTTTGGGATTAATTATGGCAAGGCTCCCCTGCCCCCACTGTCCCCTTCCCACTGCTCCAAACCAATCCACTCCAGGCTGCAGGGCCTTCGACCCTCCTTTCAACCAAATTTTGTGTTCTTAGAACAAACACCCTAGTGTTCCCCTGCTTAGGCCTGGCCCCACCCAGCCTGCAGCAGGCAACTCCTGGGCCCTTCTTTACCCCAGCCAACCTGACAGCTGTTGCCACACTTGCTTCCCCAACTCCTGGATGTCCTTGATTTTTGGAACTCCCCCTCTCATTTTAGCATGACTGTTCTCTTTTCCTTCTGTGTCTCAGGTGCCAGGATGGTGGGGGAACTCCGCTACAGGGAATTCAGAGTGCCCCTGGGGCCGGGCTTGCATGCCTATCCAGATGAGCTGATCCGCCAGCGGGTGGGCCATGATGGGCATCCTGAGTACCAGATCCGCTGGCTCATCCTCAGGCGTGGGGATGATGGGGAAGGGGGCTCTAGCCAAGTGGACTGCAAGGCCGAACACATCCTGCTGTGGATGTCCAACGACGAGATCTATGCCAACTGCCACAAGATGCTGGGCGAGGACGGCCAGGTCATCGGACCTTCTCAGGAGATTGCAGGGGAAGCTGGGGCCCTGGACAAATCTGTGCTGGGGGAAATGGAAACCGATGTGAAGTCTTTGATTCAGAGGGCCCTCCGGCAGCTGGAGGAGTGTGTGGGCACCATCCCTCCTGCTCCTTTGCTTCACACTGTCCACGTACTCAGCGCCTACGCCAGCATCGAGCCCCTCACTGGTGTATTCAAAGACCCAAGGGTCCTGGACTTGCTCATGCACATGTTGAGTAGTCCTGATTACCAGATTCGCTGGAGCGCGGGCCGGATGATACAAGCCCTGGCCTCTCATGATGCTGGTGAGAAGCAGTGTGGGGAGAAAGGAAGGGGAAGGTAGGTCAGCTCAGGGCCTCACAGGACACTGTGGCAAGAGCCTCTGCCTCATCAGTGCCTGAATGATTCTGTTGCCTTTCTCTTTGAGTTGGGAGAAAAGGGGGTAGGAAGGTGGTGGGGGCATCTCTGCAGGAAGAGGAAGGATGCCTAGCTGGGGGGATGCCTGGCTGGGTCAGTCAGTGGAGCACGGTACTCTTGATCTCGGGGTCATGAGTTCAAGCCCCATGTTAGGTGTAGAGATTACTCTAAAAAATAATAAAAGAAAGGACTGAGTCTTCAAGAACCTCCTATTAATTGGATCTCTATGCCAAGAAAGAGTTATTAGACAATTACAGATATAGATATTGCAGATATAGGTAGGTAGGTAGGTAGGTAAGTAGGTAGAGCTATCGATCCTGTGTGTGGCAACAAGGGATCGGACTATGACAGTAGAGGATCTAGGAGGGATGCCTGGGAAGGGCAATGTTAGGGAGCAGTTACTGACTGGGGTGTGGGTTCCAGGGACCCGGACCCAGATTCTTCTGTCGCTGAGCCAGCAAGAAGCCATTGAGAAACACCTAGATTTTGACAGCCGCTGTGCTCTGCTAGCTCTGTTTGCACAGGCCACACTCTCTGAACACCCCATGTCTTTTGAGGGTATCCAGCTGCCACAGGTATTCTGTGGGGAGGTGGGGGGGGGGGGCTGTGGACAAGATCTAGGGACCAGACCTTTGCACCCACCCTTGAAGGGTGGTGTGGAAAGGGGAGCTAGAGCTGGGACAAGGTGGACATAGGCCAAAGGTTGCATCCTACAGGTCCCAGGAAGGCTTCTCTTCTCCCTGGTGAAGCGCTATTTGCATGTCACTTCTCTTCTGGACCAGCTGAATGACAGTGCTGCAGAACCAGGAGCCCAGAACAACTCTGCTCCCGAGGAGTTGAGTGGGGAGAGGGGTCGACTGGAGCTAGAGTTCAGCATGGCCATGGGCACCCTCATCTCAGAGCTTGTGCAGGCCATGCGCTGGGACTGGGCCTCGAGCAAACAGGGGCCCTCGGCACGGTCTTCGTGCTCCATCTTCCAGCCCCAGCTGGCAGAGGCCGGCCCAGGGCTGCCACCCGCCCGGGTCCGGCCCTCCATTAGGAGGTCAAGGAGGTTCCGCCCTCGCTCTGAGTTTGCAAGTGGCAATACTTATGCCTTGTACGTGCGAGAGACGCTGCAGGCCGGGATGCGAGTTCGCATGCTGGATGACTACGAGGAGGTCAGCGCTGGGGACGAGGGTGAGTTCCGGCAGAGCAACAACGGCGTGCCCCCCGTGCAGGTGAGTGAGGGTGCGTGTGGGACACTGTTGGGGATTTAGCTGGGGAAGTATAACTGGGGTTCTGTGCAGGGGGCTCTTGCAGGCCACCCACTGAGAAAGCCTCCATGGGGACTGGAATGGTTAAAGGGGATCAACAGTTGAGAAGGGAGCCATTGGAGAGCTGAGAAAGTTGGAGTTGAGGGAGCTATCAGGTCAGGAAGACTCACTCCCAGGAAGAAACATATTGATATAGCAAGACTTTCCTAAAGGTCAGGGTCAGGGAGAGAGTAGGTGAGGCCAGGAGGAAGTGCGGGGAGCATGAGCCATCAAAGGATAGGGTGGGAGGAGAAGCAGAGCCCATCCCCAGAGGAGAAGGCATCCTTTGTGTGTGTGTTCATGTTCTCCATATGCCAGCGTTGTTATTTGGAGGTTGTTCCAGACCTGGTCAGGTGGTCAGCCTGAGGGCTGTATGTCCTCATCATTGGGCCACAGCCAGTCGTTGAGTGAGCCTTCTCTTCCCCTTCTCTTTTTTCCCATATCCTCCAGGTGTTGTGGGAGTCGACAGGCCGCACCTACTGGGTACACTGGCACATGCTGGAAATTCTGGGCTTTGAGGAAGACATTGAAGATGTGGTTGAGGCTGATGAGAACCATGGGGCTGTGGTCAGTGGAGCCCTGGGTATAGGTGAGCCCTGGGAGAAAACAGGGTCAGCGCTGAGCAAAGGAACAGTGGTCTGGCTGGGTGGGCAGTGACATCCCCGTGCCCTGTGACCTGTAGCCACAGCCTTGCCCTCCTGGCGGTGGAAGCCCATGACAGAGCTCTATGCGGTGCCCTACGTGCTGCCTGAGGATGAGGATGCTGAAGAAAGTGAACACTTGACCCAGGCGGAATGGTGGGAGCTCCTCTTCTTCATCAAGAAGCTGGATGGACCCGACCATCAGGAGGTTCTCCAGATCCTTCAGGAGAACCTGGATGGCGAGGTAGAGCCAGTCCGGACACCCAGAAGTTGGAGGGCTCACTGCAAGGGCTGGACTGTGACAGAGCATTTGAAGGCTGAGGATGGGGAGTGGAGGTCCACAGTTGTAAGGAGCTGCAGGGAAGAGATCTAGAATGTTCAGAGGCATTGGCAAGCTGTGTGAGAAAAGGCAGCTGCCAGCCATGAGAGGTTCCTCAAGGAGAGGATGTGTGTAGAGATCCCCACCCCTACCAACTGCCCCTGGAGCCTCTGTGCCAGCAGGGCTACCTACAGTGAGAGCTTCTCCCCGATGACAGATTCTGGATGACGAGATCCTGGCTGAGCTGGCTGTGCCCATGGAGTTGGCCCAGCACCTACTGCTGGCTCTGCCACAGCGACTCGATGACAGCGCTCTCAGGGACCTGCTCAACTGCCGTGTCTACAGGAAATATGGGCCTGAGGCCCTGGCAGGGCAGCCAGCTTACCCAACCCTGCCGGAAGCCCAGGCCCAGCCTCAGGAATCAGCAGATGCATCCAGAGTGGAAGGTGGGATGCCAAAAAGACCCTGCAGCTCTGCAGACTGGCTCTAGGAGAGTGCTAGCCCAGGAGAGG